GGGGCCGGTGCCTAAAGCTCGGGGCGGCCGGGCCCGGCCCTGCCAGGGCAGAGCGCGGTGGCCACAGGCAGCGCTGTCCTGGCCCTGCGCCGCGCCACCTGAGCCAGGCCCCGCGGGCGCCTTTCCTAGCGGGGCTCTGAAACCTGCGCGGCTTCTCACTCCTGCGCGGGGAGAGGGACCGAGGCCGCTTCGATCCCCTCGACCCCCTCGGTGTGGGTAGGCCTCTGCGGTAACCGGTCACCGCGGCTGGAGAGAAGCGCCCCGTGCTTACTAGGAAGCCTGGCTCAACTCCCACCTACAGCGGCACTGCGCCGGCGCCCTGCCCTCTCACCTGCACCTGGGGACTCCGTGCTGCTCCACGCAGGGGCGTCTCCATCCATTTCCTTCGCAGTGACTCTGAACCTCACACTCACTGGGGTCACGTAGTTCATCTTGCACGTGTTGCTGGAAACCCTGTGGGACTGATGCTACCCCTAAGCCTTCCCCACGCTGGCACGCTTACCCAGCTCTCCATGCAGAATAACCCCTGGCTCCCTGCAGACCTGGTGCCTGTGTGGTGTCTTTGGCCTGTGGTTAGGGTGACGGGGCTGCCACCTGGAGGTTCCTTAGTGGGGTTGCCACTCAGTGTGTCTTGGAGAAGCTCAGCTACAGACATGCCCATGGTGGACTTCAGCACACACAGGCCACTCACACAGACTCCAATCTTGCAGAGCAGAGGAGCTGGCTGCTCAGATCGACAGGCTGCAGCCCAAGGGGCTTGCCCAGCTCTTGGACACAGGCCTCACAGTGCCAGGCCAGAGGCCTGTTGGGGATTAGCAAAGTCACCCACATATGTGTTCAGGAAAGAGAATGTGAGACCATGGTGGACTTCAGCACACACAGGCCACTCACACAGACTCCAATCTTGCAGAGCAGAGGAGCTGGCTGCTCAGATCGACAGGCTGCAGCCCAAGGGGCTTGCCCAGCTCTTGGACACAGGCCTCACAGTGCCAGGCCAGAGGCCTGTTGGGGATTAGCAAAGTCACCCACATATGTGTTCAGGAAAGAGAATGTGAGAGAGCAGGGGGGGGATTAGCAAAGTCACCCACATATGTGTTCGGGAAAGAGAATGAGAGAGAGCGGGGGGACCAGCAGTTAGCATAATGGCTGTCACTGGACTCCCACGTAGTCGACCGTGGTTCAAGTCCCAGACCCGGTGGCTTAAACTCACGCTGGGCACATGTGCGTGTGAGTGTGTGCCCAAGATCCCGAGAAGAGAATGAAGGAGAAGGGATTGTGGTGTGGCCATCCCCCTGGGGGGTGATTTCTCGCTTTCTGTCTCTCTGTCTTTCTGGCAAGCGCACAAGCCCTATAGCCAAAACCTCTGGGGGAGGGGGAAAGAAATTAAAAAAAAAAAAAAAGAGTGAGAGCAGGAAAGTAGAAAGAGAAAGAAAGACGGAGAGAAAGGAAAAGCCACTCCTTCCCAGGAAGGACTTGCAGAGCTGTTTCTGCCTGGTGTCTTGCTAAACTCCCCTCCGCTCTGTGAATGGCTGGACTGGCCGAGCAGGCCAGAGCTCTGGGCTCCTTACCTCAGCGCTCTGGTGCTGGGCGCCTCTGTGCTCCAGGGAGTGAGTGCCCACCCTGTCCATGGCAGACTCAGAGCAGTGTGGGCCTTCCTCTTCACTGAGGCTTACCCTGGAAGAGAAGGCAGAGGGTGCTAGTTTTCCTGGGCCCAGGCAGGACCTCTTCCCTCCAAAGAGTTTTGGACTGTTCCCAGAGAGAGAATTCCTGGGTGGCAGGAACTGTTGGCCAGCCTCCTCTGATTTCCTGTGACTTCTGTGGCCCAAAACAATTCTGTTCAGCCCTGAGTCGTGAATGACTAGTCTGACACTAATCCCTAGTGTTTGCTTGGGAGCCTGAGGTACTGTGGTTCAAGTCGCCTGGTGGGGCTTCCCTATAACCTAGTGATTCAGAGAGCCAGATCCCACTTGGCCAACCCTGGTTCGAATCCTGGCCCCAATGGCTTGAAAAACATGTAGGGTGCATGTGCCTAGGTGCCCCGAATCCCTACAGCTGGAGATGGGGAGAAGGGAATGTGGCATGGCCATGCCCCATTGAGGGGTGCTTCCTTTCTCTCTCTCTTTCTGGATCACACATGCCATCTGGAAATTAAAAAAAAAAAAAGCTGCCCTCTTACCTTTCGGTACACCCAGAGTGTCACCCATCAAAGTGGGCTGTGGCTGTGTCCTCTGCTTCTCACCTGGCCCATGGTGCCAGGAATGGGAAAATGGCTCTGGTCAACGGAGAGAGTCGGGAAATGCCACTTTTCTTGGAGTAGAGCTAGCGCTTCCATGAAAGGGCCTACAGGTGGGGAAGAATAGCTCTCCCACCGAGAGGCAGGCCGGGACATGAGAGTTCTCTGCTGTTTGGGGTCCCCTGCTCGCAATGGCTGCACAGCTGTCTGCTAAACCTTAGGCAAGGACATGGACACTTCCCTGGCTCCCTGATCATGGCCAGAGCTTTTCTGAAACATTCAAACGCGCCTCCGGTGGAACAGAGAGGCGTCTGCACCCAGAGCAGCCAGCTGGCTTGCCAGGTCAGGGGCTGCCAGAGAGCCTTCTCCCTGGTCCTCATTCCTGGCTCCAGTTTCTCCTGGCACTGGCTAAAGAACCTCCGTGCAGAAGGGCAGTTTTAGACTCCTGCCTGTTGAGAAGTTCAGAGGGAAGGAGAGAGAAGGGCCAAGTTTTATATTACTGGCCTTTATAAGGAGATTTTCTTCATGACAAAATGGTGTGTGTTAGGGAGGGTGTAACTTGCAGGTGGCGAACAACACACATCTCAAGGGTATCATTTGTGTATTTTTATATACAGGGCACGTTGTGATCATCACCTGGAGGAAGATAGGGAACTTTCCCGCCACCTCAGAAGTTCCCTCAGGCCAGCAGGTGGTCTGGAGAAGGCTGACCATGTTTGAGTCTGGACTTGGTGGCTTGCTTTCTCACTTGCCCTCTCTCAGTCTCTCTCTTTATCTGGTGAGCACATATGTCCTATAGCAAATTAAAAAAATATAATAATAATAAATAAAACAGAATAAATAATTATTTGAACTCTTCAGTTAATACCTGTCCTGAGGGACTAGTAGGTGGCGTAATAGTTATGACGCTGGACTCCCATGTAGTCAACTGTGGTTCAAGTCCTGGACCTGGTGGCTTAAAACTCACACCAGGCGTGTGTGCGTGCGTGCCCAAGATCCCAGGAGGAGAATGGAAGAGAAGGGATTGTGGTGTGGCCATCCCCCCTGGGGGGTGATTTCTTGCTTTCTGTCTCTCTATCTCTCTGGTGAGCCCTTAGGCCTTATAGCAAAATTCTCTCTTAAAAAAAGGTGCTGGACACTCCCACATGGCCGACCATGGTTCGAGTCCCAGACCTGGTGGCTTGGTTTCTCAGTTTCCCTCTCTCTCTCTATTTCTCTCTCCGTGTCTTTCTCTGATCAAATTAAGAATAAATGAATAAATAAATAAAATTAAATAAAAAAGTAATTATTTAAAAAAAAATAGAAAAACCCCCACCTGTCCTGAAAGGTAACTCATATTCTGTCACCATCAGTTAACTTTGTCTGCTTTGAGCTTCGTCTAATGGAACCTCTGACGTACATTTTTGTCTCTAGTTTCCTCTGCAAGGCATGCTTTTACTATTCATTGGGCTTGGACCAACCCCTAGTATGGTGGTTAAGGTAGCTAGATTCCACATGGCCATTTACATGGTTCAAGTCCTGAACCTGCTGGCTTGAGGAAAATACTGGGTGCCTATAGGTGAGTACCCAAAATCCTGAGAGGGGATGGAGCAGAAGGGATGACGGCTTGACCACTCACCATGGGAGTGCTTTCTTGCTTCTCTTCTCTCTCTGTCTCTCTCTAGTGAGTGAACACATGTTCTGTGGAAAATTAAAAAAAAATGCCCACTGGTCTTGTTGCATGCGTCAGACGTTCATTCCATCGCTGTGTTATAGTCCACAATTTACTTATCCATCCATTTGAGGATGGATGTTTGTTTCTAACTTGGGATCTCATAAAGCTGAAATCAACATTTTTGTACACTTTCTTGTAAGAAAAATGATTATTTAGAATCAGAAAATACATAATACCTGTTACATTTCTAGGAGGCCATATTTTTTAATACTTTAAAAAAATTTAACTTTATTTATTTATTTAAATTTGACCAGAGAGGGAGAGAAAGAGAGAGAGAGAGAGAGAGAGAGAGAGAGAGAGAGAGAGAGAGAGAGAGAGAGAGAGAGAGAGAGAGAGAGAGAGAGAGAGAGAGAGAGAGAGAGAGAGAGAGAGAGAGAGAGAGAGAGAGAGAGAAAGAAAGTGAGAAAGAAAGCTGCCAGGTCCAGGACTTGAATTGTAGCCGGTCATGTGAGAGTCCAGAGCCCTTAACAACCACGCCACCTGCCAGCCCCTAGGAGGCCATTTAAAAAATATTTTACTGGGACCAGCAGTTAGTGTAATGGCTATGTTGCTGAACTCCCATGTAGTAGACTGTGGTTCTAGTCCCGGACCCGGTGGCTTAAACTCACGCTGGGCGCGTGTGCATGCGTGCATGCCCAAGATCCCGAGAGGAGAATGGAGGAGAAGGGATTGCGGTGTGGCCATCCCCTGGGGGGTGGGGGGTGATTTCTTGCTTTCTGTCTCTGTCTCGCTCTGTCTGTCTGGCGAGCGCACACACCCTATAGCAAAAATCTCTCCAAAAAAATTTTGTACATTTAATCACTTTACATCAACACAGCCTGTAAAATGAATTTTCCCAGCATGAGCACACTGTCCTCCAGTTAAAGATATTGTTAATACTATACTATCATCAACAGACAGTCCTCCACTTCTCATCCCAAATGTCCCACCTCTCTATTTTCCCAATTCCCCTCCTCTCACCCTCCACCAGTTTCCATCCTCTTCCCACCCTCCACCAGTTTCCAACCTCCTCCTACCCTCCACCAGTTTCCAACCTCCTCCCACACTCTATCCAGTATCCATAACCCTTTTTCATGCTTCTATATCCTCCATTCTTTTCATTTCCGCCACAGAGTGCGTACATTTGGTATATAATAAGTGAAGACGTACCATGTTTCTCTTTCATAGACTGACTTGCTTTACTCAGAAGTAAGTCTTCCAGCTTCAGCTACTTTCTATCAATTGCCAGGGTCTTGTTATTTTTTATGGCTGAGTAATGTTCCATAGAGTATATGTGCCACACTTTTTAAATGCATGCATCTGTTCATGGACATTTGGGTTGGTTCCATGTCTTAGCGATTGTGGATAAGGCTGCAATAAACATGAATGTGCAAGCGCTTTTCCAACTGAGCATTCTCCTGTCCTTTGGGTAGATACCCAGGAGGGGAATTGCTGGATCATATGGTAGTTCTATTTGTAAGTCTTTGGGGAACCTCCATATTGTT